CGAACAGATGTACCGCTAAAGTAAATCCTGCAAATAGTTTGGTTGCCGAGACCAGTCGTCGAGTTATACGCAGTCAGTTTCATCCCCTTTCGCGTTCCGCGGTGTCATCGTCAGAGGGCGCTGTGGTTGACACAGAATGACACCCCACCCTAACTCTCCTGATACAGCGGTCGTCACAGCATCTCGTTTCATCCTCTTCTCTCTATCTCTCTGTTTCTCTTTCCATCGCGCTCATCACATGCAAACAAAACAGTGTCTCAATCAACCACCCTCTCGCTTTGACTTAACCCCCCTCTCGACCCCAGTTTGACCCGTTAAATCTCAGTTTCAATTCGAAGGGTGGAGAATCAAAGTTTAGAGCGAGAGAAAGAGAGAGAGAGATCCTGAATCGGGAGCAAGAGTAGGAAAGCGGTATTTGCAGTAGCTACTAAATTTCCTAGGGATATCTCTGAGGATTTTAAATTTAAATTTTATTTGATTATATTTGAATTTAATTTTGTTACTCGTACGGGGTTGACTTTTTCTGTCTCTCATCCCTATGGGGAAAATATATTTCGTCTTCAGATGCTTGCATGATATTTCCTCTCTTTTTTCTCTCTGTCTCTTTTTTTTTTCTCTGGAAAAGTGAGTTTGTATTAACTAATAAGTATTTTATGCACTTATAGGTATCCGCGATCTCACGCAGCGGGTGGCTCCTTTTTATTACACCCCGCGAACAAGATGTCAGGAACTGTGCGCACTTGGTTCGTGATATGACTCTATGGCAAACGTGAGAAGCCTGTCGGTTGCAAATATAGGAGAGAGAGAGAGCTGTTCAGACGCAAGACATTTTGAAATTAACATCAGTTTCCGACAGCTTCTCCATATTCATACTTGGTGTCGAAAATTTCATACACGATGTGAGCTTTCAATTTCCAAGAAGTATAGAATTTATCTTTCAAACTTATCTCGATTTGCTAAGATTTTTAGTACAGTTTCGAGATAATAGCTCCGGATTGAACCAACGAATTTTGAGCTAGTTCAAAACAATTTTCGATTTTTTAAATTATAATTTAAAAAATCGAAAATAGAAACACCTTGGAAAAACGATAGTTAATTGCTTATATATTTTTTTTTGTTTTAATGTCGGGAGACGAATTTCTCAAATTGCAGTCTCGATATTCTGCCACCGTGAAATTCTCTTTCTATACTTACAAGGTAATTTATGATTTTGACGGGGAGACACAACGTTGAACGATCGATTCGACTTAAGTATGAACGTTTCTCAGTAACCCGTACCGCGTATATAGTCACTCTGTAAGGGAAATATATTATTGTATTCGTTTGGCGATCTTCTCTGTTGATATATACCGAAGAAGAGCGGTCCACACGGTAGTTTGGTAGCAATAATATAAAAAAAAATTCTCTGAGCGATGCGGTATAATTACGGCATGTGTAAGTGTAAGAAGTTTACGGTGTAACACTTAGCGCCGTTGTACTGACAAACTTCTTTTATATAAAAATTCTACTATATATATATATATACCGCACGTGAAAATTATTTTCACGATTCAAGTCATGCGAAGGTGACCGAGCCGATTTAACGCTGCATTTTTCTGTCCACCCAACAATTTGCACGTTTGCCTCAGCGAATACCGTGCTTTTTATAACCATCGCCTTGTACGTTTCAAGTTTGTGCGCGCGGATATTAACGAGTCTTCGAAGTCGAAAATGTTCCTCTCTCAGACATTCAGAATTATGTCTCTTGTTAATATCTCATGATTGTCAAAGACATTTCTAAATGGCACCAAGTTTTTGTTTCAATTTATATATCCTTTGCCATTTCATTTTCCTCGAAATTGTATACTAAAATTATATTTTTACTATTTGTTTAGTAATTGTATTTTTTTACTGATGTTTTATTTTATTTTCAATATTCTTTTTTTATTTTGATTACAAAGAAATGTGATATAGGGTTTCATTTTTTACTATTATTCCGTTTCGTTTCACATATGGCATATTTTATTTTCTATTCTCTTGGAATTATATAAAAAATAAGGTGTAATTTTGGAAAATAACAGGTTCCTAAAAAGATAATTTTTTCGTAAGGGATGTGTTGAGGGTCCAGGAAAAAATATTTGCTATGTTCCACATTTTTTTTGATATTATTTTCCAAATCGGAAATATTTTTCATTTGACGAATTGTAGAAAAATTTCATAAAATTGTGTTTTAAGAAACTTCGATTTTAAAAAATGGGGATAATTCTTCTATACACTATTGATGTATTAGCTTTTTTTTTCTCTCGACTGAATATATTTTTATAATAAAAAATTATCGTAGTTGTCGTCTTGGAGACAGTCAAACGTTCTATCTAGACTGACCACCATGAGGGTTCCATTATTGATTTATACGTATTTCCGTCCACAATTGCCCTTTTGTCTAAGCACATACACAATTCTTTATTATTTATATCGACATATGTTATAAATATATAAATATATCAATTCTTTTGATATAGATACTTTCTGCTTTATGGGGTTTACATTTTATTAAACTGTAAAGGAAAAAAAAACACATAATTTCAATTTTGAATTAAGAAATATATATTTTCCGCAAATTAATATTTTTTCTAATTAAATTAATATTCCTTTTCTCATTTTCAGTTTGAGATTTTGCAGATTAGATTAAATATATGAAAATACGATGGAATATATTTCGTTAGGAAAAAGAACAAAGCGTTTTAATTTTATCAATTATCGCTTGTTCTCCGGAACTGTGGTACTTCACACACAAGGTTATCTGTTTTTATTCCACTTTGTTGTGTATATATATATATTGGAGAAATCTCAAGTTTCAATGCGTCATTCATCATTAAATTTTTTTCGCAGTCTGACAGTACAGTTTTCGCGTTCTCAAACACCACGAGAAATCATTCATCGCCGCGCGCGTTCCGGAGAACGGTTTTATTCCGCAGTCTTGCGGAACAAGGATGGGTGATCTATATAGATATGTGCGCGTGTTTAATCCCTTGTTGTAAAAAAAAAGAAAAAAAAAAAATGAGTCTTGGAAGACGCTGATAGCGAGCAATGATGATGGTGGTGGTCTCGATAGCGGACATGAAAATCCCGTGGCTGGCTTTAGAATCAGCGATAATGCAGAGTCATCTAGATTTTGAGTATATGAGCTTAAACATATATGTTAAAGGCGCCTCTTGTATAGATATATATTTTTCGTGACGTAGCTGAATTCCCGATGAAAGAATCTGTTTGACGTCGTCACTCTCTTGCCAAAAAGTCGATTTTTATTCACCCCCCTTTTTTTTATTATCCACTGAGAAAACGGATCACTTACTACGAAAAAATAAGGGATATACCAAAAAAAAGCTCGATTTATTTTTGACGTATTCAAATCATTAGTATTTTCAAATAGTATTTTTAATTATTACTTTAGTGTATTTTTTTCAGAATATTTTCTATTTCGGCGATATAACAATCTCTCGCTCCCTAGAAATGTTACATTTTACTATGAGATATGAGAATATAATTATATGTGTATTTATACGAAGAGGCGAGTGTAATTCAAAGAAGTTAATAAATCCTTTGGTACTTGGGATGAGATTCTACGCCGTCGGCAAAAGACAAGACGTAGTTTCCATCCTCAGGATTGCGTCGTCGCCTCTTTCTCGAGAATCCAGTGAGTTAAGTCCTTCTGTGACTGAAATGCTTATTGTAAAGCGAGAGCGCGACGGCGGTGGCGGTGAAATAATTCAGTCTTAATTAGGATTTACGCGACGGCGGAGAACAATTAAAACATAAGACAGTCGCCGTTCAAGACAATCTTGAACAAAAATAATTGGTCAACTTTGATTACTATTCTTGCAAATTTTCAACAAATCTCACGCACTTAATTGTCAGATTTTTTTTTTAATATCTTTCATTGATTCCAAAAAAATATATTTCACCAAAAAAAAAAAAATAATTCCTTTCCATTTCGAAAAATGGGATAATTTTCATGAATTAATATTTTGATTGATTGAATATAGGTTTACCTTTATATATATATACACGAGAGTAACCACAAAAATTTCATAAACGACCTTCAGACATCCTTATGTTATAACAAGAGGTCCTAATGGTTCCACTTAGTTCGTTCCAAAACTTCTCAGTGGAATTCAAGATATTTTTACTTTCATTTTTCTTGTGACCGCGTTTATATAGCAGATGTGGTCAAGTTAGAACCTTTACAATTGTGATGAGAATTATTTATTTTATTTTGTTACATAACAGAAAATAATGGACTAATTTTTAATGGAAAAATAATTTTATATGCAAATTAGTAATTACAGTCTACTTTTTTCAATTTTTTTTTTAAATGAGTATACCATCATTTTATGCACAAAGAAATGAAAAGTATGATTTTCTTGAATGAAACTGAATAGTGGAAATATACGTATTGTAATAAAAATGTCAGTATATTTCTATTTTATTCAGATTCAATTCAGAATTACCAGCTTAAATTGCGATATGAAAGCTTTTTGAAATAATTTTCATTTTGTAAATCTTATGTGATGGTTGCTGTAAACATTGCTTTAAAATATTTTTTGCAAATATTATTTTTTGATAATAATTTTTAAAATTATATGTAGAGCCGACATATGCTTTCAGTACAAAATTAAAAATTACTAAGGATTTAAAGTTGCAGTTAATAAAAAAATAATATAGAAACTTTCAAAAAGCTTTTTGAAATAAAATATGAACATGATAAAGCTAATATTAAATGTATATTATGAAAAGGCATAGAAAATACATAGAGAGAATAAGATCTTAAAGATCTCAATATAGTAATAAGAAGAGAACTTTATAGAAAATATAGTTTTTAAATCTAAATTTCAAAGTGAATTAAAAATTACGTTTCTTTAATGTTTCAAAAAATAATGACTTTTAATGTTTTTTATTAAAAAAATTTTCTGGTTTTGAATTAATCTATTTTCAATTTTTGCAGGAAATAGAAAAATCTACTTGCTGATCTACTATACACTGATGAAGAAAACAAATTCTAGAAACTTCTTGATGTTTTGCATCTACTTTGGAAGGAGAATTCTATTTGGCGAAATCGTAAGTTTTGAAATTTAATATAAATTCGTTGAATAATTATTTAACTTAAAATTATATATTTTTTATTTATTTATAAGTTGATGATTTTTTTTTTTAGTTATTTTTCCGAATTTTTAAAAATAGATCAATTTTTGAAAAACCATCGCTCGCGACACTTGGAAAAATATATAATATACATTAATGGCGTCGACTCCATCAGCGGTGTTTGTAATTAGCGGATAATAATTGTCGTCATCGTCGTCGTTGATTGGTTCGCAGCACCTGCCATCTGCAGGTGTGTAAGCTCTTCCAAACGCCTCGATTGATCACTTTTGCAAACCCGTTTTCATGAAGGACAAAACTTCATCAGTGTAAAAATCATTTCGCAGTTCCTTATATTATCTCATAGGGATTTTTCGGGACATTTCGTCGTTTGCCTGCTGCTGTGCCATTTGAAATTAGAACAAAAATTGGATGTATCATTTCCACCTGGTTAGGGGCTAAAAAAATAAAAAAAAAAAGATGAAGCAGGAAAGTTGTTAACGCGTATGGTAGGCGCTGTGTAGAAAATTACGTGTTTGTGGTTATTGGCAGTTGGGTTATAAAGGCAAGAAAATTCATGGTAGGAGAGAGAGTCAAGATTATGGAGGGGCCAGTCACGAGAGGAAGAGAAAAAGAGAAGAAAAGAGAGAAAAAAGAGAGAGAGATCGAGAAAGAGAGAAAGAAGGTGAGGGAATATATATAGGAGTGATTGAGAAGAAAACAGTGGGAGGGTGGGTGGAAAGGAAGGAGATAGGTAGGATGGACCAGCGTGCGTCTTTCACGGTGGTCCGCAGGGTCCGAGAGTAGCTCTCGTCCTCATCGTCTCTATCCGCGGACCCACTTCTTTATATATATATATATACTTGGCTCTCTTACGAAGAGAGAAGCCTACGGCTAATATTCAACGTAACCTCCCTTATTTCGTGCGGGGCCGGGCTTATATGCATTTTCGGGAAGAAGTCATTATAATATAGACGTCTTGTTAGCTATATATACAGCTAGAATTGGTTTTAGGCGTATGCATAGCTAATGAGAGGACCAGCTGCCGTATATCCGCTGCGCCCACCGTGTGTGTGTACAATTTAAGCGCATCTTATTTCGAAACATAAAAGGGATTTTGTCTTGCGAAAACAGTTCATTTTCATTTCTTTCTTGATTGACTTGTTCTTCTTCATTATAGAATAATATCTTTTGGAGGTTTTTTGCCAGCACTTATAAATTACAATAAACTGAGAGCTAAAATTTTTATTCAAATTTCCTTACAATTTTCTGTTAAGGAAAAAAAAATTATCAATTTAAAAAACGAAAAGTAGAAATCTTTCTCTCGAGGTAGAAAAAACAGGGGTGAGATTAATCTTTTCCAAGACCGATCCGTCCCTGAACGAGTACCGAAGGCATTACTCGGTCGTAGGCACGATTATGATTTGTTGACCGGACCACCATGGCTGTGAGTTCCTGACTTGCTCCAAGAACCACACTTGGCCAAGGTTGAAATACTCCTTCGAACATTTGTTTTCTCAATTATAAAGTGATTAATGCTTCAGCGGATCTTTCCTATATTACTAAATATTTACTATTTTATTTATTTACCAGTATTAATATTATTTTATTACTATTTCAAATTATTCATTTTTCAGTATCACTAATTAACATTTTTATATCTTCTTTTTTTTACGCTGTAAAATAATATATAAAGTGTTTAATTACCGTAACACACAGAATATTCTTTATTTATAAGGCTATTTTCGGCGCAATTTTATGATTCCCATGACGTAAGTGGATCCCCTCATCTCGCTGGTCCAGAATCCCCGCGCAGTATGTATATATATATATAGTGCGGAAGATTTTAGTGCGGTCACAGTGGCTACACACCCCCGCGATAAACTTGTGCCACCACTGAAATTCGCTACGGTTTTGGTATATAGATGCGAGGGGGGAATTGCGAACTCGCCAATATAGGCAATATAGAAATTCATCTCGAATGCAGGTATTAACATAAAAATTGCGTGACCGATCAGTTCGACACACCAAGCCCTCTGATCGCTCTATTATTCAACGATTTTTTTTTCTCCCCCTTTTATATCAGCGAAAAACTTATGTAACTTGGAAAAAAAAACAACTGCTTTTCTTTTATCTTTCCATTTTTTGAAATTGCATTTTCCAAAGTAGTTTAAAGATTTGTTTTTTGAGTTTTATATTTATACTTTTGGAAGTGTATAAAATTTTATAGGTCTCGGATTAAAATGACTTACAAATTTTTTGGGTTATCTCTTTTTTAGAAAAGACTTTAAGATATTATAAACAAATTTTCTCTTGTAGAATTATTCAAATTTCTTTAATAATTATTAGATTTTGAAATTTATTTTCACTAGTTATTTATATTAGTTTTTAGTTATTTAAAGTTTTATTTTATTGAAAAATAAATAAATTTACTAAAACGATTTTTTTAAAAGTCGATGGCCTGATTTTATCGAGATGCAATAAAATTAGGAAAAATCATTGTTATTAATAGATTGTTTCTGATTTTAGGAGGAGAATAATTTTTAGGATTGGTTTAAGGAATCACTTGAGTTTGAAATCCGGCGCTCTTGAGATGCGTAAAGTTATGAAGTCGAGAGAAGGAAAAAGTCAAATAGAAGCCAAAAATGAGCTAATAATTCCTATTTCGAGATTTGGAAACCCCAGCGATGAGGGTTGCATATAGCATGCATTTTGTGTGAGCAATGATGCTAGTATATCGGGGTGTATTGAGAGCCTCTCCGTAAGCGCCAGGATCTGTCATGAAGGCATAAATCAATGTTTCTCGCTTGCAGTACACACACACACAGAGAGAGAACTTGAGCTATAGTGTATTGCAAAGCTATGCTTTATTATGCCGGACACAATTGCGTGTTGCCTAAGCCACGTGACCGGCAACTTCCGGCCGACGTTTGGGTTCCGCTTGGTGAATGTCGTCGCATCTTCCCATCCCCGCTTGATTCACGTGTCAAGCGACGCTCCGTCTTTCACGCTGAAACGAGGCGAGGATAGTGGATTGATGTTTAGTTTGTTATATATAGGAAACGTAAACTGAGTATCATCCCTGTTTCACTTAATCTTCCGATTTTCGAGCGTAAATGGACGATGCGACACACAACCCTCTCTTTCTCGATTCTTCCCCTTTTACCTCTCTCTCTTGATCTATCTTCTGTGTATATGTGTGTTTTCATCTCCACCTCCTTCCCCTTTCAGAACGCACACGCGATCAGCAATTTACTTTGGCTAAGAGCCATTGTCACAACAGAGAGAAAATCCTGAGAATTCTATGAGTATAGTTTCAATTCCGGTTTTAGGGGAATAAATTGACCAGTCATTATAATTATTAGTTTTGATTTTCAATCTCTTCGATGGAAAATTAGATTTATCAATGTTTTCTGAGAAGAGTTAATTAATATTTTGATACATAAATAAAGGGAAAATATTTCGTACTCATAAATTGAATGACAGTAAATATTCTGTAACTTCATTTCTTAACATGAAAATATTCAGTCTTGGAGCCGTCAAGATAGAGAAAAAAAAACATAATGGATGTTCCTTCTTTTTATCCAATTGATTTAGATCACCTTTGGAATGCGATGGCAGACTGATCAAGTTGATACTTTGGTCCATAAGTTTATTCTCAAGAATAAAAATATTTTTTCGATACAATTTTTTACATATATATATATATATTTTTTTTAGAAATTTCCCACTTAAGAGTTAGTGAATCATATAAAAAGCATTTAATTTAATTTCTCTTATATTTATATGATACAATCTAAAACTCACATGCATTATATAAATGAAAGAAATGAAGATCCTCTTCCTGTTCACGCAGAAATAATGAATTGTAGGTGTTCCCTGACGTTCCGAGTTACTTATTATTGACGACTTTAATTACTCATGAAGGCGCGCGGTTTAGGAGTATATACCTGTTATAATACCTAACAAATTACTGGTTTTAAGGAACTAATTTATACTAATTATGTACTCGCAATGAGAAAAGAATAACCGCTAATCCTCGAGACAAGAGGAAAGGCTTGGAATTCCTTTCATTCATTGCCACTCGCCAACGATATATATATATATGTTTCTTATTGTATACCGTATGTAACTCTTTTATTGCTATATTTCCTGTGTCTGTCTTTTGAGACTCTTTTTCACAAAAGTCATAAACGATCGCTTCATACTGAGTTCAGGCTTCCGGATTTCAAATTCTTCGCATTATTCGCTTCTCCTCAATGATATTATTTTTCATGCCCAAGTGCGTGTCGGTAATGCGACAACTTGAAGTATTATTTCAAATTGTTCTCTCGCTGAATATTTAACACTTTACAAATGATTGTATTATTTGATCATTGTGGAAGTTGAGAGGATTTATTATATATATGTATACTTTCATTTACTTCTTTTTGTTTTACAAATATGAAAATTTTATTTGGATTATTCTTGGTATTTTATCTTTTTGGAATTAGTATATTCATTTTTACAAATTAAAAATTTATTTTCTGAATATTTTATAAAATTAATTTTATTTACGAAAATTTTCATGAAATTATTATTGTTTAGTTTCTAATTATTGAAATTATTTTTTTGCACAGTTATGCGATTTTATAAATTAGGTTTATTAACTCTTAGAATTGATTAGGAAATCAGTAAATTGTCTTTACAGTTTGAAAGTGATTTTTTTTAGTATTCCCTGGGAAGAAAATTTAAATGCATCATTTTTTAGGTTCGAAGTATAAAAATTTTACAATTACTTATTTCCGTGAGAAAGCGCTTTTTAGTATTTTTCTACATTTCCTATATACTTGTTTTAATTTTAAATACAGTCCAAAGATTCATTTAATTATTTTTTTAATTTTCCTTCGTGAAAAAATTTTTCCAAAAAATTGTTTTTGAAAATTGATTCGATCTGGAAGAATTTTCAAAAGAGAGGTCTTTTTTTATTGGGATTTGAT